GGATTAATGGTGTAGTCTGTTATGCTGTGTGACACTATCTATTGGATTTTTGTTAAAGAGCCGAACGATGATCTGTGGTGCGCCATGTAAAACAACAATGGTTAACCATGATAACTGACGCACAAAGAACCATGGGAAAGCATCCATGGGTCTGCTAGCAAAACAACACTCTGAGCAAAACCATTGAGAGCTTGCCACATTCGTCAAAATTTGGTATAAAGTTTGGGTAAGAAGCCAACTATAATTCATCAGAGTGACGTTGTTTCTACACAACTCCAGTTGTTCTCAATATTATTGACATTAACTTCAAGCATTAGCCACATAAATCTGGAGACATCGGTCACAGGCAGCCTAAGAACAGGTCCCAAGTGTCTTGTCATTCATTCTCCTGAATGGCAAGGCCCAAATCCCCGGTCTCATCACACTCCAGCTTGGGTTTTATGGGAGAACAGCAGGGACAGACAGCATTGCCAGCTCATTAAAAAACCATAGCCCATCAACCTGTCACTGTCTTGCGGAATGGTGTCATTAAGTACTGGAAAGCGTATTACAGCTAACTGTGCCCACAAGGAAAATGATAGAGTGGGAAGATTAGCTCAGAAGTAAACATTTGCTATTAGCTCGGTTGTTAGTGAGAAACAATTTAGTTTAACAATATACGATTGTCTGGAATGTGGGATGCCATACAAATACATAATTGAACTTTGTTCAGATATCTATCTATCTATCTATCTATCTAGATAGATAGATAGATAGATATTACTATCTGTATATTACTATATATTACTAAAACTTTAACAATTAACATTAAAATGAAAACTGAAAGTTTAAATATTAAAACTGATTCAAAGTATTAATAAAAGCGATAATAGTATATCTGTGATATTAAATTAACAGTAATATGTTTCTCCATGTTGGCTGAACCATATTTAAATGTTTAAAATAATACAACCCCAATTCCAGAGAAGTTGGGACGTTTTGTAAAAATGCAATAAAATCAAGAATCTGTGATTTGTTCATTCTCTTTAACTTTTATTTAGTTGACAAAAGTACAAAGAAAACATTTCCAATGTTTTTACTGACCAACGTAAATGTATTTTGTAAATATGAACAAATTTTGATTTTGATGGCTGCAACACACTCCAAAAAAAGTTGGGACAGATGCACGTTTAACACTGTGTCACATCAACTTTCCTTTTAATTACAATGTTTCGTTGTTTGGGAATTGAGGATACTAATTGTTAAAGTTTTGCAAGCAAAATTTTTGTCCAGTCTCTCTTGAAACAAGGCTTCAGATGCTCAGCAGTCTATGATTGTCGTTGTCTGATTCTCCTTTTCATGACTGGTCATACATTTTCAATAGGAGTCAGATCTGGACTGCAGGCAGGCCAGTCTAGCACATTCACTCTGAGTCTACGAAACCACACTGTTGTAGCACATGCAGAATGAGAGCTGGCATTGTCTTAATCTAATAACCATGGACTTCCCATGAAAGACATCATCTTGACGGCAGTATATTTCTCTGTACAACTCCAATATATGCCTCCATGTCAGTGGTACCTTCACACATATGCAAGTCACCCATGCCGTTTGCACTGATGCACTCATATACCATGACAGATGTTTGCTTTTGCTTCTGTCGCTAATGAAATTCTGGATGGTCCCTTTGGTCTTTGGGACTGAGAACACGAAATCCATTTTTCCCAGAAACAAGTTGAAATGTGGACTCATCTGAGTACAGCACACCTTTCCACTGTCTTTTTGACTATCTGAGATGAGCTCTGGCCCAGAGAACCCGGCGGCATCACTGCATATAATTGATGTATAGCTATCTCCTAGAGTTACAGAGTTTCAAGTTGCATTTCTTGATGCAGCAAGAACTATTAAGTGACAGCAGTTTTCTGAAGTACTCCTGAGCCCATGTGGCTATATTTAATACTGCAGAATGAGGAGGACTCAAAGGTCAAGCACATTCAACTGAGGTTTCCTGCCTTGCCCTACATGTACTGTGATTTC